GCTGGGCCCTCTCATATCACTCAGCAATCCAGAAAATGCCCCACAGACATGGCCATGGGCCAATCCAATGGAAGAATTCCCCAATTGAGGTTCCCTCTACCCACATGTGTCAAGTTGACAACTAAAGCTTTTAGCACAGAGGACTTTAATATGTAGCAAATTATTGCAGATTTATTTTATAATACCAGTATTATACATAATTTAAGGGAAGCACTTTCCCTTTTAGTACTGTTTTTAGAAGTAGATTTCTAAAATATGAGGAAACTACTTAAAGTGCTAATTTTGCATCTCAGTCTAGATTTATTAAACAAGAATTTATTTCCTGTTTATGAAATTATTTTTCTTAAATACAAGCCTCCATAAAACATTCAAATGAACACATTATATCATAATATAGTCAAAATGGCATTTTTCTAAGTATATTAGTCATGAGAATATGTGTGAAAAATACTTTCTTTGGTATGTATCAGTTTAAAAACCCACTTCTACAACTGAGTTGGATTTCTGTATGTAGTATATGTACATATTCAGAAAACATATTTTGTCCAAATTTTATTTATGTCCTGTGCTGCAATGAAATAGTTTAATACTACCTAGTTTTAGTTCATCCCAACATGCATCTTGTTCTAGAGAATTAAACAAAAGAGAAAAGCATTTTATGAGATTTGGGAAAAACCATAAAAGTATTTCTCTTCTGATCTTATGTCTGTGAAATTTACATTTTTATGTATGACAATCACCTAGTCTATTTAGGAAGAACTGTTTATTTTTTGAAAAGACAGGAAGCACAGTTATCGATATGTATCAGAAATTGTTAGGCAGAGTTAATGAACATCAATCATTTTTTTCTCTTTAATTTTTTTGATAATTTCATACATTAGAAAAGCAATCAAGGAAAATGTTTTGTATTAAGAAAGTATTTGTTTTTTAATGTTTTAGGAAAAAGGTTTCTTGGCTATTTCTTATCCATCAATAACAGAGGGATGTAAATTACAAAGACAAATTCTAGTATTTAAAAATTCAGTGTACTTCTGGACAAGATGGCACAAGCCTTTAATCCCAGCACTTGGAAGGAAGACGCGGGCATATCTCATGAGTTCGAGGCCAGCTGGGACAAGAAGGAGACCCTGCCTCAACTAGACAAAAGAATAATATTCAGTATATTCAAATATCATAATTATACAGGTAGAAGAAGCAAGTGGCAGCTTAAAATTATGTTTTTGTTTAATTATTTATTTTTGCAAATCTTTATGCACAATGGTACAATTTAATGGATGATAAAAATATTAGTGATAATAAAACTTTTAGAAACTACTCAAAATAGAAAGGTTTAATATCATACTAAAATATATAACTATTTTATACTATTGTATTGATTTTTTACATCTGGTTTCCTAGCAATATTTACTCTATATCTGCAATGCTAGGTATGATTAAAAGAGGCAAAATGTATAGCTCCAAAATCTGTGGTATTCATATTGTCACAAGACACTGAATAAACTAGTGCAGGCTGCATATAGACCTCACTGGACAAACTGTATAGTGATACAACTTTATAAATATATAATTTATATCTGTCTGCCTACCTACCTACCTTCCCAAATTGAATATACATCTAGTTACTGTCTATTCAAGATGGTTGCTTCTTGTAGCTTGTGAATGATAGAATACCAATGATTGAAAGGAATGTTTTCATTATAAAATATGTGGCGTGTCATTGAATTTTGTAGAAACACCGGCTTTTAGTTCTTTGCTTTTGAGGAGCAATTTTGCCCAGAAATATTCACTGTATATGTATAATTAGATCTATTTAGGAAAATGGAAGTGAAGCGCAGAGCGGAAACATCACAGGAGTAAAGGTCATAGGACAGAGATGGATCTCCATGTTATAGTTTCTTTTTCTTTCTGTTTTTGGTCTTTTTTTATTTAAAGAAATAATTTGTTGAGAATTTCATACACGCACATAAGGTGTTTTGATCAAATCCATGCCCACGCCCTCCCCTCCAACTCCTCCCATATCTCCCCATCACCTTTTTTCTGACAACTTCATGTATTCTTTTTTTTCTTCCTTATTTATTTATTTTTATGGGGCTTTTGGCTACTGTAACAGGTTATAGTTTTCAAGACCTGAATCATGTTACTGTAGAATAAAATCCACTAGTGTTTTCTGCAGTCTTTAAAATAAAACGTTTGGACTGGAGAGATGGCTCAGCGGTTAAGAGTACTGACTGCTCTTGTAGAGGACCTGGATTCGAAACCCAGCACCTACATGGCATGGCAGCTAACAACCATCCATAACTCCAGTTCCAGGGGATCTGACTCTTCCAACTTCCACAGGCATTGTGTAACAAGGGTGCACTTACACACATGCAGGCAATACGGGGGGGGGGACGAGAGAGAATTAAATTAATAAATAAAACATTAAAATAAGCATTTTTATATTTCAAATTTTTCTTAAAAGTTAATAATTATTTTTTTTCCTCTAATTCTCCTGACAGCTCAGTAGCAGTCCTTCGAGATGAGTCAGCATTTAACAAATTGTCAGATCTTCTCACTAGGGATATGAAACTTTAGGGAAATACTTTAACAAAAGGCAATGATCATACTTTGAATAATAACATTTACAATAATATTTCAATTTTAATGTATGGCTTATTTTTCAAAAGGTGCATAAGACAGAGATACTTTAAAAATAAGCATGTGAAATTTTACAGATAATAAATCTAAAAGAGAAAAAGTCACTCATTTGAAACTTCCATACATTTCGTTAATTGAAGTCATCCTGTAGAGAAGGTCAAAAATAAACTTTTATGTCGAGCCAACTGTTCCTTACATATGCGAAGCTGAGTGAAACTTGAATCTCATGGGAAGTGCTTTTTTAATGTATCTTTATTGAATTTTTGTGCATTTCATACAAAACATCTTAATCATTTATACCCCTCCTCCGTCCACACCCCTACATACCTCCCTTGCCAGATATCATGCATTCTGTCACATATGTTAAGGCCTATCCAGACATCCCTCTGTACAAGTTAGCTCGCTGGTGTCTAGTCGGCCTATCTAGAGTTTCTCCCTTAAAGAATATCAGTTCTCCCTCACCCAGATGTAGTCAGCTGCTCAATATTTCTTCAGCTAAGGTTGGGGCCTGCTGTTTATTTCCCCAGTTCTATGCTGAGGTTTTGTCAGCTTGAGTTTGCATGGGTCTTGTGTTTGCTGACACCACTGCTGTGGGCTCATATGAGCAAAGTTCTAGGAGTCTGTAAGACTTTTTTTTCATATGATCATGCACCTCCTCCCTGCTCTTACAATCTCCCTCCTCTCAAAAACGGTCCCTGAGTCCTGGGTGGGTGAAGTTTAACATAGGAGTTCTGTTCAGTGACCCATACTCTGCAGACTCTTATTCTCTATGCTTTGGCCATTTGTGTCTTTTTGTTTGTGGCCCTCTATTGCATGAGGGAGTTCACTGATGAGAGGTGAACAATGCATTAGTATTCTCTCTACCCCTTGTTCACTACGTTCTATGAGCCTTAGATGGAGAGGTTCCATTGTAAATGTGTCACTGGGGTTGGGCATCTCACAACTGTTGTGGAACTCTGCATCAAAAAGAAGCTTCTTTGATGAATGGTGACTGGCATACTTGTCTGTAATTATAAGAATCCATATATAGCATATAGTAAAAAATTTAATTTGTCTAGGGATGTCGCAGCCTAAGGGTTTTCTCTATGACCTCTCCAGCCATGTGCATTTCGCTGTATTTACAATACCACACATGAGTTACAATACCACACACGAGTTCTCTTCCATTGAGAGGGCTTTAAGTTCAATTAGGTAGAAGCTATGAAGTGATTTTTAAAGAGACTAGTTCTTATTGGTCTCATTAATACCTGCACACAATATATCGCTATCCCCATGAATATTTGAAGACTATTTCTATATTTATAGTAGCACTTTTAAAATTTTCCTTCAGTCTTTCAAAGTTTTGAAAAGAAAGCTAAGCACAAAACTAAGAAATTGAAGTGTGTGGATTTTTACGATTACAGAATTTACATACTTTAAAATTATTTTGTATTGCGTTTTGTATTATGTTTCTGTATCTACCATGCTGGCCACCTATGAAAATGTGTTTATAACCCAATCCCTTAATATTATCCAAACAGTTAACTAGCAAAATTTGTCAAGTCTCTAATATTTTTTGCTTTGGTGATCCACAGCAAGAAAGTTTTCATTGAGTTAACCTGATATTTAAAAATTAACTCATTTAGCAATCAGCTTTTTGTAAAACAGACTGTTTCTTTTTGCCATTTATCTTATATAAATACTGAAACATTGCTACAATTCATTAAAATTTTATTTTTACTAAAATTCTTTCTTTAGTATTATTCTCTAAGTAAATATTAAAATAATTGCTCAACATTCATGCGTGCAAAGTTAAGCTTTTTTAAGTTCTTTATGGCTTTAGTAATATGGGTGAAGCCAATGTCATTTCCATGCAGACTTTTACTAAGTTATTCTTTTTAGTTTATTCATCACTAAGTTCTGTGTATGTACTGCAAATCTTTCAGCTGATAAAGATATAGACCACAGATTATTTTGAAAAATACGATATAGTACTGATGAGTAGAAAGAGAAATGCTAAATCTTAGAATATTAAGTGAATAAATTTTTATCCAATACCACTAGATGGCAGTCTATAGCTTGATACAGAGACACTTTTGTGGCAAGGGAGGCAGGGAAAACTTGGGCTTTTTCCAGTAAATCATTGTCAATATTTCATGGATGATGGATGACAGAAAAGGGCAGCTCTTCAACTGCAGGGAGTACATGTGTGGCACACACTCATTCAAGTCATAAACTTCTTGACTCAGTTGCGTGTCAGTTTGGGATATAAATACTCAAGATTGCATTACTCAGAACCTTTGTAGACTGAAGCCATAATGCCGAAGGTGGGATATCATCTCTGCTTTAACTGGCTGCACTTTTCATTCTCGCCTACTCCACAGGTGACTTGGATTATTACTGGTTGGATCCTGCCACATGGCACAGCCGGGAAACATCGCCTATTAGCTCGGTAAGCTTACTGTGGAGTGTTTATAATTCAGGATTTATGTGTGGTATTTATTTATTTATTGTCTTTTGTTATGTGATCAATAATAATCTTGCTCTGGGCAATTAAACATTTTATGACAGCAGATATTAATTTAATTTGACAAGACAGCTTTGAAGAAAATTGAATTATCACTGAATAAAATTTTGAATTAAATAAAATACATCAAATCTTTTTTAAATGAAAAGAACTTAGAACATGTTCCTCATGAAATTTGATGGATTTTTCTCTGTCAACAAAAAATATTTTAGCAATAGTAGTAATTAGTAATAATAATTAATAATAATATATTCCCATATACTTAGTGTGAATAGGCTACACTTTGATGGTAAAGTCCAGGCCCTGAGATCAAAATAAGATAACAAAAAAGTCACAGTAACACTTGCCTTTACTCCCATCACTCCAGTGACAGAGGCAGGCAGATCTCTGTGAGATCCTTGCTTTACGTAGTGAGTTCCAGGCCAGCTGTGGTTACAAGCAGACCTTATCTCAAAAAAAAAAAAAAAACAAAACCCACAAACTAAAAAGAAAAAGATTAGGTAACAATTGACAAAATTTATCTTATTAAAGCTTGCTGAATGGCTATGGAGTAGAATTTCTACAATGATGGCTAACTAAGTAGTTTAAATGAAGGACATGCGTTAATGTTTACTCCACAGCTGACTTCCCATACTTGGTTTCCTATAGCCTGAAATTTCTAAGATTTCTTCAGAGATGACATTAACGCAAATAAAAAATGAGAGTAAAGTCCAGGTTGTAGGCTCTGCTTCTGTCTGGGGGACAAACTTTACACTGTAGATGAAGAAACATGTTGCTGTGATGAGAAATTAGTTTGGTCTCTTGTCATGTGAATGCTTTTATATAGAGCACTGGACATCATTGGGAAGAATTTCATCCTCTCAGTACACACACACACACACACACACACACACACACACACACACCCCACATCACAATCTAATACTTCAAAAGATAAACCTTAGCAATGGGAAGACTCTTATCTAGTTTGCTGGTGGGTTTTAGCTAATGTGTTACCCAGTGCTTACCCAAGTTTTACTTCTCTAGAAAATACTTTTAGATGCTAGGGAAGAAAATTGGAACACTTCTTCATCTTTTAAGTATAATATAAAATCAATGTGAGAAATTAGAACAGCCGAAACAGCCTCTGGTGAAGACAAATGAGATTACATAAAGCTCATCCCACTTTAAAATCTGTTTTAGTGTCAGTTTTGATCAGTGGAGATCGAAGCAAGCATAATCTTCCTCATCCAGAGTGACAAAGATAATTCTATTTTGAGTTTGCTTTTAATTATCCAAAATAAGAGGTTTCAGTGTTTCAGTGAGATCTTCTCTTCTTTTCTTTCTTTCTTTTTTTTTTTTTTTTGATTGTTTTTTGACAGGGTCTCCCTAGTCACAATGTGAACCAGGGTGGCCTCGATCTCCCAGAGATCCACTTGCCTCTGCCTCTTGAGGGCTGGTCCAGTTCAGTGAGACATTTTCATTGCCATATATAATAACCTTTGATACTATTCAGCCTTTTATTACTGTCTCTTACTCCCTTCTCTGATTCCCCTTCGTCTCCCTTAACAGTTCCCCATCCTATTTCCATATCATCTTTGTTACTTTCTCTAAATCCTACACATGAGAAAACTCAAAGCATTCATTCATTTAAAAAGTCATTATTATAACTCTTCTTTATAGAAATGAGAAAGAGATATTACAGGTGCTCCTTGACTTGTCATACAACAGAACTACTTCTTGCTAAACGTGTAAATTGAAAATATTGTTGTGTGATTGGCTAGGAAGATGGTTCATTTGTCAACACACTTGCCACTGTGCTTGACAACCTTAATTCAGTCCTCAGAACCCACATGGTGAGAGAACCAATTCCGACAATTTATATATACACACACACACACACACACACACACATATATGTAAAGAAAAAGAAAACATTGTTTACTGAAAATGCATTCAACACACCTAGTCTACCGAATTCATCATTTAGCTACACTGTGGAGTGCCTGATGTTTACCCTCCAGATTGTATGGCTAAGAATTATGGCCAGTTTCCACAGTCCACTATCCTGACAGAGGAGTATACAGCAGGCATATCACAACCTTGAAAAGGTTAAAATTCAGAGTGTGGTCTCTAACTGGATCGTAATGATTTTGCATGATTTTAAATAATTTAAACCATTAATTCAAGAACTCAGTAGGAGGGCCAGGAGTGATGGTGCATGCCTTTAATCCCAGCACTCAAAAGCTATAAGATTGAGGCCAGAAAGTTTCAGGCTATCTGGTGCTACATGGAGACCCTGTATCAAAAAACAAAACAAAGCAAGAAAATTAAAAAAAAAAAAAAACTCTAAAAAAAAACTCAAAAAAACCAAAACAAAACAAAAAAACAAAGGGGAAAAAAAGAACTCACTGTGTGGGTATACTATCACCATTATCAACCCAAAATATGGTTTTTGATATGTAAGCAGAAATATTATTAAGATTTCAATTAATTCCATTTCAGAGCCATTTTAGGGATTGTCCTTCGTTCCTTTCTATTTTTAGAATTGTTGCTAATATAATAAAGCTCTAAAAGAGAAACCTTGTAAGCCAGTGATAGAGTTCACAAGAATAAAGTATTTCCAGTCTAGAATCTTTTAGTCAAAGAAATCAAATCATGCTACAAATAATAATTATTGAAAAAGAAAACAAGTTACTCACTTTTTAAACATTGTGTTTTAATAGCATCCTGTAACGTGGCAGCCGTCTAAAGAGGGAGACCGATTAATTGGTCGTGTTATTCTTAACAAAAGAACAACCATGCCCAAAGAATCAGGTGCATTACTGGGTCTGAAAGTAAGTATACTGCCTTAAAATATTCCTTACAGGGTAAAATAAAGTACAGGCTCCACTCTGGACTTCCCCTTTTTTCCCAAAGTAACTATCCTACAGTATGTTTTATATGTTGAACAGCAACATAAAGCATCAATAGGTGGAGTGTTTTGTAATAAGAATAATATTGTAATAATACCAAAAGGATAAAGTCTATCCTTTAATCACAGTAATTGTCTTCCTACAGAAATAATAATATATTACCAGAGATATTTTTATTTTGTAGAAAAGCACACATATATACATACATATGTATGTGAGTATAATGCATATATTGTATTATATATATGCAGACATATATGTTAAATTAAACCATTTTGCCTTGAGTTTCCTAAAGAAATATTCAAAGATTTTGCTTTTGAAGTACTTAGAGATTGTGTTGTAGTTGTGTGTGACCTATTGAAGACCACTGCTCTTTGATTCAGGGCTGTTGGTATAGCTCAGCTGTAGCGTCCTTGCCTGGCATTCATGAAAGACCTGTGTTTGATCTGAAGCACAGCAAAAAAAACCAATACATATTCTTATTGCTATATCTTACTGATTATTACTAGTAATTACTCTTGCTGTGAAAAACTCTGATAACTTGTATTAATAGCTGCGTTACTAAGAACTGTGGGTCATTGTCACTGTTTAGCATTATTCCACCCTTCAACTTTAATTATATATATTTGAGCCCTTACATTGGATAAAATTAAACCTAGAGTTTATTGAGGCATAATGAATTCAGGTATACTGTAAAATCCAGATGAAAATGTTGACTGTCAGTGTAACTGAGCCTTGAGCCAGCTATACATAGCCGTGTATTGCAGAGGAAGCTGCTGAGATATTTCGTTGCAGACTTGCTTAAGCTATTACACTTTGCATAATGGCAGGCCACTCCCCAAAGTGGTCTTTGCATAGCTTGAATCTCTAGTATTTATGAATGCAGACCTATTATGTCCTATCACAATGATAGAAAAGAGATCAAAATTTGGTATGGACAGTGGAGCATTATCTTCATATAGAAAGATTCAAATGGTAGGTACAATTTAGAATTTTGAACAAATGAACCCAATGTACCCTGTGCCAGACATTTGATGTTTGATAGTAAGGAAAGAGTTGTAGCGCCCTTCTCCTAAGTGTATATGGTTGTGACATCCTTCGGTTGTTAGTACAATGTACAAAGTTAGTATACAAACTTCCTTCCATGGTCATCTCAAATGTAATGATTTTTGAAGTAATACTATATTTCTGTTTCCTTTTATCAGAATGTAGTTTATCAGAAGATCATAAGACAATGTACAATTAATTCGTTTCAGAATGTGTTTTAGGAACTCATGAGTTTGTAATTATACAGGTTGTTGGAGGAAAAATGACCGACTTGGGACGTCTTGGTGCTTTCATCACCAAAGTCAAGAAGGGTAGCCTAGCCGACGTAGTGGGACACCTAAGAGCAGGTAAAATTTCCTTTTAACATTTAAACAATGTACTCTCCCAACTCTGAGTTATTTATATGTGTGAGTTGTAATTTGTTTTAATGCATGAGTACATCTGTTTTCCCCATACAGATGCTTATTAATTGCAATAGTAGGTAATTATGCACAGATAGCAATAAGGAGACAGTAAGAGTAAAATAGTCATTTAAGCCATAGATGTAAAAATACTAAAAGATTGCTTATTTTATAGATAGCTTCATGATATTGCAACAAATCTTCAATCCAAATCAATTTAGAATTACAAAGCTATTCCGTATGACTATTTAATTCTTTGGTTTTAAGATACAGTAGTGGTGTCACAACATTTATTTAGGAATGGTGGCTGGTATATGCCATATAACCTAATCTTAATAATCATTCATATATAGATTATGTGATGAAATATTTGTGAATTTAAGTGAGAAATATTGTACCACTTTGGTATTTGGATATTTATGTTTATCTCTGTAGCCCTCAGTGATGTTAAAATTGAATTGTATCATTGAATGTATCCAAATGTGTCATAGATTCAGGAAGAATGCATTTGGAAACTATTTTGGGTACTGGAGAGGTGGCTCAGTGGTTTAAAGAACTGGCTGCTCTTGCAGAGGACTGGACTTTGATTCCCAGCATCTAAGTTGTAGCTAACAACTGTCCTTCACTTCACTTTTAGGGGATCCAATGATCCTTTTTGGGCCTCCATGAGCATTGCACACATAGGTGTCCTTACATACACGCAGGCAAAACATTGTCTTTAACTCCAGTTCCAGGAGTTCCAATTCTCTCTTCAAGCCTCCATGTGAATTGCATGCAAAGGTGTCCTTACATACGTGTGAGCAAAACACTCATACACATAAATACTAGTAATTATTTTTTTTAATTAAGAATTGCTTCGAAATTTTTATTTTTTGGTTTAGTTAAAATCATAGTAACCTATTTATTAGTGGATTTTGCTATATAGTTTGGTGGAAATGTTTGATTAGGGGTTTTTTACAAATTGGTCAAGCAATCAGAAAAAAAGCAAAGTAAGCTAAGCTAGAGTGTTGTTCTATAATTGCACATATTACTACATAGAAAGAGAACACTTTCAGCACATAGTTTCTACATATAAAATCTTAAGATTGTAATTCTTACAAACTTCAGAAAAAATATTCAGACTCTAGAACTGTTGCACAATTCATTATCGGTATAACAATCTGAAATCATTCCAGGTATTTTCTTTGACTAGCATCATGCTTATGGAGGTAACTTAATGAGGGATTTCTTTCCACTCACTATGCAGCTTTAAATGAAAAAAGTTTGAGACTGGAGATGTGGCTCAGTTGTTAAGAGCCCTGGCTGCTCTTGCAGAAGACCAGGGTTTAGTTCCCAGTGCCCACATAGAGGCTGACATCTTCCATGTCTGGAACTCTAGTTCCAGGGAATCCGACACCTTCTTCTGGCCTCCACAGGCATTGCATGCATGTGATGTATTTACGTACATGCAGGCAAATCACTCATACACATATAAAAAAAATCAATCTAAAATGAAAAAAAAAAATTAAGACAGGGTCTCCTATTTAGCCCTACCTGTTCTGGAATTGACTATGTAGACCAGGCTGCCCTTAAACTCAGAGATCCACCTGCCTCTGTCTCCAGAGTGCTGGAATTAAAGAGGTATGCCACCATACCAGGCTTACTCTAGAGTTTTAAAGGTGTACAAGGAATTAGATTCTACCCATTTAAAAAAAGAGACAAGTTAATGATTCACTAAGAAAGTAATGGAGTGACTATGTCAGCAAACAGTCTTTTCATAGTGACTCAAAAAAAAATCTGAAAAATGTATGGAAATCCCAAGTTAGTGAATGCAAGCAAACATTAGCTATAGAAAGCAGAATATGAAGATCAGAAAAGTATAACGAATTGGGGTTTTCTGGTTGTGCTTTCATTAGATGATTAAGTGGATGTTCCATGTAAAGTAACCTTTGGTGGTTGCTTTCATTTATTTAATGCCATCATGATGATTTGAGAGCCTGACAAATTGAATCTAAAATGTTGAAAGTTCAACTAAACTAACTAAAACACACTTAGGGGCTTGAGAGATGGCTCAGCAGTTAGGAATACTGACTGTTCTTAGAGAGGGCATGGATTCAATTCCCAGTACCCACACGGTGCTAACTACCTTAACTCCAGTTTCAAGCAATCTAATGCCCACTTCTGACCTCCACAGGTATTGAATGACACAGGTGTACTTACACACATATGCATGCAAATACACTCATTTTCATTAAATAAAAATAATGAATAAAATTTTTAAAACACACTTGATTTGCTTTATAGTTATAGCAGTTGATTTATTTGGACAAAATACAGGTTTTTTTTTGGTTTAGTTTTTGTAGAATCAATGAAATAGACTGGATTTTTTTTTCCTTTTTGAGACAGGGTCTCCCTGTAGCTCCAGCTGTCCTGAAGTTCACTATGTATACCAGGCTGGCCTTGAACTCACAGAGATCCGCCTGCCTCTGCCTCCTGAGTGCTGGGATTAAAGGCATGCACCACCACGCCCGGCTAGACTGGATATAGTTTAATGTAGGAACTGGCTCTTATTCTAAATATTTACATATAAATATCCTTATCCTATATAAACAACTTTAATTTTTTTTTTAGCTTTATTTCAAATGTGGGATATTGCTTGCATCTTCACACGACTTTCTGCAGCCAGTCCCCTTCAGGGCTATACACCTCACTGCTCCTAGACCTGAAACACAAAACTAATGCCTACGTACTCCATATTTTTAAGATTCGGCAATGTATCTTGCTTATCTTTTGTTAAACTCAAAGCATTGTACCTTTGTCCCCAGTGAGCCTGCACAGCCCTCTGGCCCTGTCAGTCTAGCTCTGTCCAGACAAGCTTTTGCCCACCTAGGGGCCTTGATCAGCACTAGCTGTCAACCTGCTCTGCCTGCTTCCTTTATTGGGAACAGCTGTCAACCTGCACAGCCTGCTGACACGCTTTCCTTCCTTCCATGCTCCTAGTTTAAAAGTGTTTGTGGATATCCCAAATAGAGCAATAGCTAATTACTACCTCTCTGGTTCTACCTGGTTTTACTTCTCTTCCTCATAGAATACTTGCAATTGCAGAAATCGTATTATCTAAAGTTTCTGTGCTTGTTTCTGTATTATATATCCACTACCAAATATGAAACTGGAGAGTCATTTTTATCTTTGTATTCTCACTCAGTACATTCTTGCCTGAGAAGATTATTCATGTAAAAACAGTATTAGATTCTTCCTGCATTAGGTTTTATAGAGCTATAGGTAAATTAAGACATGTATTAATTTAATTTGATATTAAAAGTTATTCATCTAGGTTACTACCTATAAGGATGAATATTGTATAATGGGTTACTCTTGCAAAATACTGATTGCAAATCATCATTGAATAGTAAAATCAACTTAATTATTTATATTTATAATTT